CCTGCTGACAGTGCATTAGTCAAGACAGGACCTTGCACCTAGAGCTCCCTTTGCCTGATTAGAGCTCAGACGGATTTTCTAGCAGGAAAAACTGCATGGGCATTTCAGCCTTGATCAACAGGAGTCCCTCTACTGATTCCCTTGGCTGTTGATGCTAGGGGCTGTGGTAGTTTAGAAAAGCAAAAACCTCTGACCAGACTGATGCTGTAGGTTTTAACTGCCCGCTGGGACTGCTTTGTGGGATGAAGCTCTAAACCTCTAGCCCCACGCCGCTGACATCAGTGCAGCTTTCCTATCAGTTTCAGTGGGTTCAGAATAAGAGTTCATTAACTGGAATATTTTTTAACCAGAAATTTGTTTAATCAAAAAAATATACTGGAATATTTTCTAGTCTAGATTTTCTAGCTGTGTTTTGAAATGTTTTGAGATACCAAGAGTTTGACTGTTACTTGAGAAATTGAAATATATATATATTGAGTAATATATATATATTCAATGGAGAAATACTGTAATACAGAACATGGCAATAATTGCATTTGATTAATATGGCTAGATCACGTACGAGGACTTATAAATGAGATTTTTTTCCAACATTGTAAAAATTTGATTTTATGAGATAATTTACAAGGGTGTAAAGAGATGAAGGGCTGAGTGACATCAGCAAATTAAGCTCTTTTTCAGGTGTCTCTTGCTGGCTCTGCCCCACTACAGAGAAGCATCCAAAATCGCTTCACATTTTTAAATACAGTGTCCAGGTAGTCCGAAGGCTTGAGTGAGCTTTTATTCTAGCTGATTTTTTTTCAGGGTTGCCTTTTTTTCATCAGTGTGGGACATGCCAATGCAGTGACAAATAAGCATACACAAATGTGGAAGACTGTTAGCTGTTTATTTTTACTGCTGTTGCACAAGGAGAGTACATGCAAATCTCACTCTTTGTTTTTTTTTTTTTTTTTCTCTCTCCCACCCCCTCAGGTTTCAAGTGGCTATCTGGTTGTGGCTTTTGTTTATGTGACTGAATTTGTTGGCATTAAAGCACGAACCTGGGCTTCTATGCATGTCCATGCTTTCTTTGCTGTGGGAATTATGGTTGTGGCACTCGTGGGATTTTTGGTTCGGACCTGGTGGGTCTATCAGATATTTCTCTCCATAGCAACTCTTCCCTTTGTCTTGTGCTGCTGGATGCTCCCAGAAACACCTTTTTGGCTCCTGTCAGAGGAAAGATACGAAGATGCACAAAAAGTAATTAATATAATGGCAAGATGGAATAAAGTAAGCACTCCCTGCAAAGTTTCTGAACTGTGCTCAGTCCAACAAGATGATCTAGTCAGTGGCGGAACGGGTGACCATGACACGGCCTCAACAAAGAAGCACAACATCTTAGATCTGTTTTGTAATTGGCACATTGCAAGAAGGACCATCACAGTCTGGCTGATCTGGTTCACTGGGAGCTTGGGGTACTACGTCTTTTCCCTTAGTTCCGTCAGTCTAGGAGGCAATGAATATTTAAATCTCTTTCTCATAGGTAAATATTTTTACACTTTATTCTGTTTATGACAGCACTAGAACATAAAATTTGAAATGTCCAGAGATTTGACAGCCAATTTTTAAACTTTGTTGATTCAATTATGAACCTTGTTCAAAAAGTTTCTTGCTAACTCTTCATAAAGTTGACTAACACAGGAGGAATATCACTCACTCCAAATATCAGTGTGTCTGGGGAAAAAAAGAGAATTTAAAATTAGTTGGTGTACAAAATTCTTCTCCCTCTGTCTTTGTGATTGTAAAACTGCATTCTGCTTGTCTCCTCTTTGCCCTGCAAGCATATAGCAGTTCCACAGAAACACCAAGGGAAACAGACCGAAATTCACAGGGCTCTGTTACAGGCACAAACTAGGAAAATGAGAGAAAAAAATTACTGCTTTAATCACTTACAGTCATGATATATTGAGTCAGTCTGTGTAGAAAATACATTCATAATTCTCAGAAGCAAGAGGAATTTTAGTTTTCTCAAAATTGTATTTTTAGTTCAGTTTTAGTATTCTTTTAATTTTGTTGCTCTGACTGTAATCTTCCTCTGGTATGTAGGTTGTTTACAAAGGTGGCTCAGTGCATCCAAGGCCTGATCAGTGTTAAGATCAGTGGAAATATTCCATTGACTACAGAAGACTCTAGATCAGGCACGCAGCTCTGAGCCAGCAAAGGATTAAGTCATGTGCTTTGCTTTATGCGACTGAGTGCTCTCAGTAAAGTGAATGTGTCTGTTCATGTACATAAGCACACAGAAGGACTGGGGCACTCATAAATTGTTTGTGTTGTCGCGTATTATAGTGTATTGATAGACTGATGTGTTGAAGAGTGGATGCTAGTATTGCACAGAAACAAAAATGTTACGATGGAGTACTGTGCATAAATCACTGTATCCACCTCCTTCAAAAATATTTTAGCAGACCAACATACACTGAATAATTGCAGCCTGCTTTTACCAACAGAGGCCCAAAAGATTATTTCCTGATACTGTAAGTGTATTGAGATACTATACATGCTTAGTAAATGAATGCAGCATATTTGTTCAGGTCTGTATCTTATGTTCTTCCTCAATTTTACATTGGACATTGTAGCATTCTTCATGAGCAAATTGGCTTAAAACATGTTCAAACTGGCTTAGGCTCAGTGTCATTTGTCTAGGGCCAAATCACGTTTATGCAGGGTTTGTGAACAGTCCTAGCCAAACACCAGTTTCTTTAGAGCTGCAGAAGTTTTTCTCTGGACAGAGGTATTAGGAAGAGATGGGATATTGTAAGCAGCTGCCCTCTTTTTAATGGAGGAGAGAGAAAGCTGGAACTGTACTCTGTATTTGTGGAGTTGACTCAGAAAACCAGACCTGGAGAGACCTTGCTTGCTTTTTACGCTGGGCTGATGTGGGGCTGAAGCTGGGGGAGGTGCCTGTGGCTTCAGTTCTGTGTCCAGGTGGAAGCTGGCAAATCCTGAGAGGTGTGTTGGTGTGACAGCAGCAATATTCCTTGTGGGCACGTTTAAACTGTTGATGTGAAAATACCTGAAGCAAAAGAGCCGCAAATGGTGAGCTTTCAGTCACAAGTGCCAGTGTCTTAAAAGCAGGACCATGGCCTTGCTGTTTTCTGTAGTTTTCCACCCCAAAGGGAACTGGAGCTGCTCTGCACTGTGAAACCCATTTCCCTTGTCCTTCTGCATCTCCTACCGTATTTTAGGCCATGTTTTCTGTCTTCTGTTGCCATTTCTGTTACCAAATGAACTAGCCCAACACACTGGTTATCTCTAGATTTGACTTATTTATTACCCCCTAGATTAAATGAATCCTCATAAAGGGGAAGTTGGAGTTATAACATGAATACATGTAATCATGTCTTAAAATGAAATAATTTCATACTGACAGGTGCTGTGGAGTTGCCTTGCTATATCATTGCTTGCATTGCGATGGACAAACTGGGAAGGAGAAACACACTCATTCCGTTCCTTATTTTAAGTGCACTGATCTGTGTTTTAATTATGTTCATACCTCAGGTTAGTCACGTATCGTTGAAAGTGTTCCTGTAGTAGAAATTGATTTTAAAGGGTTTTAAGTCTGTAGATGCAGCTGCTCTTTCTAAATCATATAGTTGATTAAAGGCTGTTTTTAAAATGCAGCTGCCAGTCTAAGATAGATTTATGTATTTTCAGCACAGGTTTCACAGTTTCATTGCTGGAGTCACATGTAAAATGTTCCTAGGGCTTCAGTGAACCAGGACTGGTAAAAAGTTATATGGACACTAGTTGCTTATTGAGACTGATTTTTAAAAAAGCAAGCAATAAGTATTGCTTAATATTTATAGAAGGGTCACAACTTTTGAAGGATTTAAATTGAGTTTGGAACAGTGTTATTTTTTGGCAATTTATTTATTTGTGCTCTCTTTCAATAGGATTTCAGTATATTAATTATCTTAGCAAATATGGCTGGAAAATTTTCAATAGGTGTGGCATTTGGCCTTATATATCTCTACACGGCAGAACTGTACCCAACAATTGTAAGGTAAGAACTTTCACCGTCATATATTTTTCTCTTTTTTTTTTCTGTTATTTTGTTTTCTTTGTTATGCTCCTGGGCCAGATCCGGCAGCTCTTATGGTGGTGGTCTGAAAGTCTCGGGATGGGATGAGTTTCTCCGCTGCTTCAGAGTTGTCTAGTATTTGGTTGTATAATAAATTTTTATTTATTTTTCATTTCCATGTGCGTTCTTTGGTTTCACTGAGGAACTAGAAGAATACTCAATACTTTCTTAAACAGGACTTAAAATTCCTGGTTGTTCATCCTGTGGTCTCTGATGAATTATTATTGCATTTTTAATCTTAATTATAGAAGCAGTTGCCTTTTGTTACAATATAAATTTACACTGGTGTAGCAATAGCTTCCTAGTACCATTGCATAAAGACATATTATCCCACTGATGTTTTGAGTGTCTGTGTGTTTCCAATTGTTTGCTTTATCTGCCAGAATTCTTATCAAAGTCTTTGTTTTATGTGTAGATCG